CCCTTGGGACATTTGATGCATTCATTGGAGACTGTTGCCATGGTTTCATCCTCCTGATTATCTTGAACATTGAATTCATGTGAATTCGCCTTCCCTGGAACAGGCTGATCGGTGGCCCTGGAGGTAGGTGAGGAGTTGGTTAGGGTGCAGGGGAAGCCAGTCTGGAGGGAGATGTTTGAAGCAGTGTTTTAGCAGCTCCATGAAGGAAGCCTCCCTAGGGGCTGGTTAGATGTTTTGGTACCCAGGTGACTGACAGTGGATGCCAAGCTGAGAGCTGTAAACTCAGAAGAAAAGGTGTGTGTGTGTGTGTCATTGCTGGGGGAGGGGTGGTGGTTTTATCTTGCTCATTTTGTTCAGGGGAGCACTGATGAGCTCAGCCCTTGTTAAGCAATGCTCACAAATGCAAAATTCATCTTCAGCTACTTTCTTGGAAAAAAGGTAGGGAAACAAATCTTTATGAGTAAGAATTATAAGATCACACTTGACTCATTACACTTGGCTCCACCATGCTTTCTGCTGTCACCAAAAATCAATCCTGCCCTTCCAAAATGGAGATCTGCCCTTTTGGTAGATTACAGGCACTTGAAAGACCAGAGGAGAGGCTGGGAAGGCAAATCCAAACAGCAGCCACGGAAAAAAGGGACTTTCAGAAGTATCTCAAGCAAGGCAGCAGCACAGTCCCAAGGTGACTGTTCTGAAAGAACAAGACATTGGAATGTGTATGTTCCGGATGTTTGTTCACAGCCTGACGGGCTGCCACTCCTTCTCACTGGTCCATGCTCACGGGGGAGCAGTGGCGTGACTCATTCAAGGCAGTGGGTAATCACAAAGCTGACTTCAAGTGTGGGTTAGGATATGCAGATATTGTACATATCTTACAGCATGTTTGCCTTCCTAATTATGTTTTGCTTCAGCTGGTATGGAAATGAGCTGCCCATCTGTGAGTGCACACCATTCACCGCTGGGTCAGGCTGCTGCAGGAGCCGAGTATGTGGAGCAATGGGAAAAATGTCACAGGATTCAACATTGCTGCAGATGACTTGCCCAGCGTGTGATCCACCTGGGTATAATTGAGTGTTGGCTACAATCAGATTCATTAGCAGCCCAAGAATGACACCTACACCCCCATCCCCATCCCCACCCCCACCTAGTCATCCTCTGTATCCCCCTGCTTGTGCCAGATATTTCATGGATCTTGAGTACTGGAGGCTGCCAAGCAGACAACTCTGCATCAGTGGCAAGGGGGCTAATCTATATTTGCATATTAACCGTACTTCCCAGTGAATTTCAATAACTTGGAAATGGGCATTTAGCAGCTGGGAAAGAGAAGGCATGGTAAGTGCTCAGAACCAGTCTATAATAAGCATCTGCTTGAGAGAGACCCTCTGCAGCCAGATGCCCAGTGCCTGATCAGGGACCTGCACTGGGCCTGCAGCTGCACATTAAAATACACTTAGCCTGTCTTTCCAGGTGGAGTGAGCAGCATTCCTTCCCCCATGGAACAGATCTGGCCAAAACAGGCACTCTCTTATTCATAAAGTAGAATTTCTAAGCCAGACTTTCTCAGCCCACAATCCCTTGTCCCAAGGGGGGGCTACTGGTTTAAAACTGTCTTCTGCAGAAGTCTACCCAGTAATTCCACCACCTGTCATGCACACATGACTCATACCACATGCCACACCATGACATGCCATGGTTACATGCCGCTGGCCAGGCCGGCCTAAGGACAGCATATGCCACCCCTGTCTGGCTGCATTTGTATTTTCTTTCTTTCTGTTTTTGAGACAGAGTCTCACTCTGTCGGGTAGAATGCCATGGTGTCATGGCTCACAGCAACCTCAAACTCTTGGGCTGAAATGATCTTCCTTCCTCAGCCCCCCAAGTAGCTGGGACTACAGGCTCCCACTTCAACACCTGGTAGTTTTTCTATTTTTGGTAGAAACAGAGTCTCATGCTTGCTCAGGCTGGCCTTGAACTCCTGAGTTCAAGCAATCCTCCCTCCTCAACCTCCCAGAGTGCTAGGATTACAGACAGGAGTCAGGGCACCTGGCTTGGATTTGCATTTTTTTAAGCATAGGGTCTCCTCTTATCTGAGTGTACTTGTCCTTTGCACCATGGCTCTCCCCACCCCACACACATCTCCCTGGGAGAAGGCAGAAGCCATTCAAGTGAGGCAGGCTGGGGGACATAGGGCCAGGACTGGATCAGCCTTCTCACCTAAAGCTTCATGGGGCACTAGAAGCCGAAGAGGCATCAGCCAGAAGTTAGTGGGAAACTTTTCTTTAGATTCTGGGAAACCCAAGCATGGCTTCAAATCCAAAGGATCAGAGAGAGGTAAAAATAAAATCTAGGCTGCAGAGCCAAGAGTTTGGGAGAGACAGCATCAGAGTGAGAACAATGCCTTCCACTATACCTGGCCCAGAGGAAATGTCCAGCCTGCCTTTGTTGAATGAATGAACATGTAAATGAGGGACACTCCTTGAAACCACAGTGGCATCTGCCTTTGTAGATGTGGTAGGTGTACTCACTGTGTACATGGGAGTGGACAGGCCGACTTAAAGGATGAGCTTTTCCAGGATTCCAAGCTCAATGCTCGACAGCTGTGTTACGGTTTATTTTCTGGCACTAACGTTCCCCTTTCCCCATCACCTCTCACTATAATTTTCTTCAGCTCACCCTGAAATTTCACTCCCTCCCATGAAAAACACTTTGTCCCCCCACCCAAAAGCAGCAGCAGCACTACCCTCGCAGCCGCCTCCTGTTTCTGTCATGACTTACGAAGGAGTCTTCTACACCAGCGCTTCCCGAAATGTGCCTTGTAGAACACTGCTCCATGGAATGTTAATGATGAAAGGGTTCACAGGTCAAATAAATTTATAAAACATTGGATTTAACAAGATTAAACAAGTTTCTTCAGCGTAGGGCTTCTCAGTCTTCAATGTGCCAATCTGCATTCCTAGAAGGGGAAATCCCAAATTCACTTAACCTCAGAGCCCTTCTGTGGGCACCTCTGCTTCACGCAAAGCTAAGGTTCTGCTCCACACATTTTGGAAACTTCCAGTCTTCTTGTTTTCTTCAATGCCATGGTCCCTTTATCTGTAAAATGGGGGCAGTAATGGCATCCAGCTCAAAATGTCATTGTGAAGATCAAATGGATTCATGCAGGTGAAGTGTTTACAATGTACCTGCAATTATCTTTCTTTTCTTTTCTTTTTTTTTTTTTGAGACAGAATCTCACTTTGTCACCCTTGGTGGAGTGCCATGGCATCCTAACTCACAGCAACCTCAAACTCTTGGGCTGAAGCGATTCTCTTGTCTCAGCCTCCCCAGTAGCTGGGACTACTGTGGTAGCGCCAGCCACCACGCCCAGCAATTTTTAGAGATGGAGTCTTGCGCTGGCTCAGGCTGGTCTCGAACCTGTGAGTTCAGGCAATCCATCCACCTTGGCCTCCCAGAGTACTAGGATTATAGGCGTGAGCCAACATGCCCAGCCTCGGTATAGTTATCTTTACTATTATTATTTCTGGTTTTTCATAAACTAGCCCTGGTCTTCACCATTCTATGGAACTTGCTCTCTAGGGTACTAATCTCAGGCCCCAGATCCAGTGACCATTCCTGTTCCTCCCCTCCTTGGCCTCTCTGCGGCATCGGATGTTCAGCCCTCCCTGTTTCCTAGCGCTTTCCCTTCCTCTCCTTGGACTTCTCTCCCACTTCTCTCTCCTGTTGTCTTTCTGCCATTCTTGTCATTTTTCCTTTGTTTCTCTTTTTCTAAGCTTAGCTTTTATCCAAGAATCATCCCTTGACTCTTTTGCTCTTTCTCAATATTCTCTCCTCTGGAAATCATCTTCAATTGTAAGCTTCATCTGAAGCCCAGTTAATGCAAATTAGCTTTCCCTCCCCAACTTTTCTCTGTAACTCCAGGCTGCCCTTTTCCAGTTATGTGTCTCCACCTTGATTCCTTACAGCTCCTCAAATTTGATGTGCCCAGAACTGAACTTACAGCTCCTTCTTTAATTCTTTCTCCCACGTTCCCGTTCCTCTTGGTTATACAGCTGTCCTTCCTCATCACCCAGGCTTGATTCTGCCCTGCCTTTTGTCAGGGCCTACCAATTGTGTCACCATCTGGCTCTACAGTCCATTTCCTTGTCACCTTCTCTCTGCGTTTTCTCTGCCTCTTCTCTGATTCACTCCTTCATTATTCCTTCATTCCCTTGGCCATCATAACAACATCTTAACTGATGTCCTGACCACATTCATTTCCCACTGGGCTCCTAGTACACTCTTGCAAAAAAACAATTACCATTATTTCATATCCTTGGTTGCTCTCTACCACCTACAGAACCAAGTTGCAACTCGAGGCCGTTTACAGTACAGTCTCAGGCATCTTTCCTCTCCACAAGCTCCTCACTGTAACCCCACTGAGTTTCTCAGTGTCCCCCACGTATGCCCCACACCTTTCTCCTCTTCTCATTTGCAGCTTTCTCCATAAAGCCACATAGTTGCTCCAAGCAGACCAGTGGTTCTCAACCTCCCTAATGCCACGACCCTTTAATCCAGTTCCTCATGTTGTGATGACCCCAACTATAAAATTATTTTCGTCACTACTTCATAACTGTAATTTTGCTACTGTTAGGACTCGTAATGTAAATATCTGATATGCAGGATGTATTTTCATTGTTACAAAGGGGTCGCGACCCACAGGTCTGAGAACTGCTGAATTAGAGGTTCTTTTTCCCTCTTCTGAGCTCCCATTGCACATGCAAATCAGTACGTCTCTTTGTAACATCTTCCTACCAAAGGTTAGATCCCTTCACACAAGATCTATGTCTGACTATTGTCTGTCTCCTGTCCCACGTAGACTTTTCACAGTAGCTCAGTAGATGTTTGTTAAGTGAAAGAATAAATTTACGAATTGGTTTAGATGGATGGATAATGGTTGCCAGAGAGCGCCTCTTCTTTTTGTGTCTTTTTTTCTTTTTTTCAAAGTAAACAAATAGCTTAAGTATTTTATTTGTTTGCTACTAAGCTTGTTAACACTATATAATGAAAATGTACAAAGAATTATGTTGCAGTTTTGGGTTAGATTTAAGTCAAAGACATTCATTAATAAGGAATCTTTGAATGTGACTATTCCAGAAATTTCTCTAAGCCATCTCATCAGAACAACTGTCTCTGAATATTACCTTACTTTAGAAAGTACTGGCATATACTTGAATTAAACTCAAAATTTTTCAAAATAAGCCCTAATTAAAATAACTATTCTATATTCAAACTAAACAATATTAACAGAACTTTCCTTTCCAGAAACAGTAATAAAGGAAACAAGGCATTTTGTAAAATGTGGTCCTGAACAAGTCACAGTAAAAAAATAAATGTATACTTAACTTCCACCTCCTCAAAACAGAGACTACTTTCTGTTCCTCAGCCTTGGAAACAAGGTGAAGAACTTTGGAAGAACAGCCTATAAGCAACTTCAGGCAGGCTGTTGCCAAAACAAATCTCAAGCAGTTAACATGGGCACATCAAAAGAATTGGGGGGAACCTGACCGAAGGATCCAAATCCTATTTTTAACAACTGATACAAAGGTGAAGTGGCTCCTCCCAAGCAGCAGTGCCGCCAGGGCCTGACCCAGCCCCAGGCCCACACTCACCTATGTTAGGCTCCAGAGTAAACCCTGATGCTCCTGATTCAGGGGAGACCTCCTCCCTTTGGAGGTTCAGTGTCCAGGGAGCTCTTGACAGTGTAAATGAGGTGAGTGCTGACTCCACGTGGGTATCTTAAGGCCTGGAGTCAAAGTATTTTTCTAACACAGCTAGGCAGAGTCCATGTGTCAATGGCCGTCTCCAGTTTGTTCTAATTTCTCACCACACATTTGTAGATCTAGGACCGCAGACCTTCACTGTATCCTCATAATCACATCTAACGTCCATCCTAACTTATGATTCATATTCTGTGCCTGGAAACAGTCCCTGTATTTAACAGTAATACCTACACATAAAACAATCCACTGTTACAACTTATATGGTCACAAAACATTAATGATCTTCTGTAGACCAAGCAAATGTTTTAAACCATAATTGTGGTGCATCAAATTCACAGCCAGAATCCCCAAGATCAAAAAAAAAAAAATGCACAATGCAAATAATAACTTAAAATACACATACACACATATACACACACTTTCACACACAGTTCTTACAGAACTGTGCTTGGGGAAACTCCATTTGGTGCGTGCCACTAAAGGCATATTTTGCTAAACTGCTGCTCCAGGTATTTTTGTTTGGGAAATCTATCACAGTAGGGCACAGCTGTTCATTGGATGAGCAGAAAAGGAAGATATACTTGTGGCAACCAGAAAGTTTTAAGGTCTTTCAAGTTGTATAAAATGGACCTGCAGAAACGTTATATGTTCTCAGGATGCAAAGTTGGAGCTGAAATGTGATATCAAACCAGTTGCAAGAAGTGTACAGCAGCCATCTCTTGAGGTCAAACCTGGTACCCAGATATGCCACAAAGCTTCAGGACACAGCTTGTTGGCCTTGTCCCATACCGTGGCATAATCCGATCATGTGTAAATTTCACAGAAGATTCCTATTGTCCTGCTAGTTTGGTGTTGAGGACCTGTTCATACTCCTCCCGGATCTTGTCCTCCTAGTGCTTAAGGAGACGCTCACAAAATATTCCAACTTGTCTGATGGTGAAGGTGGGCTGGTCCTTCTTCGTCCAGGAGGACCCTGGAGAACTAGCAGCCATGAGTGCCGAGGAGTGAGGTCGACTTTCCAAAGCACAGACTTCACTCTGATTTTTTTTTTAACATGGGGTACAGTGTAGTGTGTTCATATACAATTTGAAATATTTTCATCAAACTGGCTAACATAGACTTTATGTCATTTACTTAGTTATTGTGTTAAGACATTTATACTCTAGTTTTAGAAAGATTCACTTATACCCTTAGAAGACAGACCATAGAGGTGATCTTTCCAGTCACCCTCCCTCCACCCATCTGCCCTTCTCCCCTTCCCTCCCCTCCCCCTCCCCCACCCCCTCCCCATATTCTTGGACTAGAATTAGGTTGTAGCTTTCATTTGAGATCTAAAATTAGTTTCATAATAGGGCTGTGTACATTGGATACTTTTTCTTCCATTCTTGTGATACTTTCTGATTAAGAACAACTTCTAAATGTCTCCACCTCTGGTAACGACTATATTCTTGTTTTATTCTTGTTCTGAAAAATTTGCTTGGGAGTTGGAAGGCGCCGCTGGCTGCCGGGCGGCGCGGGCTGCTGCAGAGTCGGCCGCGAGGTCTGCGTCTGCAGCGGCGGTGGCGGCTGCGCGTCCGGGGGCCTAAGATCCGGAGTGGGGCCGGGGAGCGGGGCGCAGCGCCGCCGCCCTGGGGAACCGGGGCTCAGTAGAGCCGCCTCGAACTCCGTGGGCCGCTTCAGCGTCGCCCCGCAAGCCATGCCGCGGTGGGGCCAGAGACCGGGAGTAGATGCGGTGGCAACTGCGACCCAAGCTCCGGCTCCTCTGCGGGGCTCCTAAACCAACCTGGCTCCCCTTTTTTCTTTTTTAATTTTTTTTTTTTGCAGTTTCTGGCCGGGCTGGGTTTGAACCCGCCACCTCCAGCATATGGGGCCGGCGCCCTACTCCTTTGAGCCACAGGCACCACCCCCTGTGTCTTTTTTCTTTCACTAAGTGCAATTCCATGTACCATGTTTACCGTCTTTCTTTTCTTTTCTTTTCTTTTTTTTTTCTGGAGAAACAGAGTCTTTGTTGCCCTCAGTAGAGGGCCAATGCGTCACACAGAAACCTCCAACTCCTGGGCTTAGGCGATTCTCTTGCCTCAGCCTCCCGAATAGCTGGGACTACAGGCGCCCGGCCACAATGCCAGGCTATTTTTTTGTTGCAGTTTGGCCAGGGCTGGATTTGAACCCACCACCTTTGGTATATCGAGCGGGCGCCCTACCCACTGAGCCACAGGCACCACCCCTCCATGTACCAGCTTTGGTAAGAGACCTTGTAGCATCATGCTTATTGGCTTACATGGGTCCTACTCTGAATCTTGGGCTTGGTGTTTTCTTCACCCGCTTCAAAAACTCCCTTAATAAAGTTTCCTAGCTGATAGCTCTCTAAGCAGCACCCCCACTTGGGATCCCTGATGCCCATGTGTTCAAGATGGCACTGGCATCAGCTGACCCTCTAATTAATGCCACAAGCCTCTGTTATCTCCAGGAATTCTCTTCAGTGTCATCATGACCATCCATGCTCTTTCTGCAGACTCCGTCTGTTTCTGTAGCATTCTGACCCTAGGGCCAGCATCAGAATGCAGAGTCAAAGTCAGCCTGGCAGCTCAAGGTCCACCATGCTCAGAGCCGCTCCATCAGGATTTCCATAGCTGAGTCTTCATGGTAAAGACCCGTGGCCTGCTAGGAAACTGTAAAGGTTTACTTGTGAGAAGCTAATTTAGTGTCTATCGTGAGGGACATAAAATTGTGAAACTGACTTCTGTGATCTTGCCTGCTGGGGTTGGAAATTCCCATAGCTCCCGAGAGATAAAGGCAGACAACTAAGAGATACGGCGCTAATGGTTAAGGGAACACGCTCTGCACATGAGTGGCCCGATCCATCGGCTGTAGTATTCAGAGGCCAGTAAGGAAAATAAGGTTTCCGTATTTACTACAGATTGAATAGAGGAGATTTGATACAGGGAGTTGGTTATACAACTGTTGTGTGCTGGAAGAACACAAAGGGACACTGAAGTAACCCAGAGGTAATTACTACAAGAAGCAGCCACCATTTCTAGGGCTGGGAGTACAGGAGGAAAGCGTTACCAGAACCTAGACGTCAGAGGAGATGGCGCTGAGAGCTCAGATGAGGGGGTGCCGCCTGGCTGCTGCTGGTACTTCAAGGGTGCACAGATGCTGGTTCTGAAATGCCTGAAGGAGTGCCCAGAGCCAAGAGCCACCGCTACAGCTACACTGACAAGAGCAGGAAAAGTTAGGAAAGAACTTCCCTCCTGCCTTGCAGTCTCCTTCTAATACCTGCTATTAGCAAAGCCTGATAGAAAGCCAGTTATCAATGGAATCCACAGAGCTCCAGCTCAGAATAGAGCACAGACATGGTGGGAGCTGTGGCAGTAGGAGAGCAACTAGCACGATCATTTGCTGGATCTGTAACCTTGGGTAAGTTGCTTATCTTCTCTGTGCTTCAGTTTTCTCGTCTTTAAGACGGAAGGAACAATCACAGCATCACTGCACAGTTTAAATGAACTAACGCATGGAGAGCGCTCAGAACGGTACTTGGTACATAGCAAGAGCTTGTAAATTTTACCTGTAATTATTTTTACCAGGATGTATCTTGATTAATCTCTTTGCTTCCCATCCCACTCCCGCAAAAAACACACATAATGCGATTGCTGATATTTATTTAATATAAACGCTTTATTTCAGTGCCTGTGTGTGCAGATAGCTGTGTGTTTATTTTTTGGTAAGACATCTTCACATACACACAAACGCACACAGAGAGAGAAAGAACAGAGCTTGTCAGACATAAATCCCAAGCCTGGATCCCCCACTTACTGGCTGCTTGTTAACCTTTACCAATTCTAAGTGCCTCATCTGTGAAAGCCGCCGAATGCTGCTTGAGGTGATGCACGTGAAACGGCCTGGCAGTGAGATGAGTGAGCGCAGTGAGCGCCGTGGATGTTCTCTGTATTGGTTCCTCTCCTCCTTCCTGAGCACGTAGAGCAGTGGGTTGCCTGAAGCTTTGAGGACCCCATGACTGCCCCTCATCCATCTAGGCCAAGGCTGTGTGCAGACAGGCAGGACTGAGAGAGATCTAGGAGCAGTCTGGGTCAAAAGTAGGCTTAGCAGAATTCCCGCTGTGGTCCAGTTCTGTGTCGTGAGCACTCAGTGGTCTTTGTTCACATTTGGTCTTAGCTTCTGTTTCTGTTTCCAGTCTGTAAACAGGGACCACAAGATCCCTGGAAGAATATGTCACGTTACCCCCAGTTATTCAAGGTCCCACAGAGGCACTGAGATGGAGGAGGGTGAGGTGATGCTGTGACAAAAGGAGAGAGTTCAGGCTGCCAGACAGATTTGGAATAAAGGCGGGAAGGGAGCCTGTATCTCGGATTCCTGGGGGTCCCAGAGGCAGGGTGAGGGAGCCTCCAGGGGCTCCGTTTCTGTCTGATAATGCTAGCAGCTCGTGCATATCTAAGTCTCATGAGCTGATTGTCAAAGGTCTGACTTTCTGAGAGGAAACGTTATAATAAGGAAAACGAAAGGGATGGCAGTCACGTGTGCTGGTGTCCCTCCAGGGTGAGAGCCAGGCCTGCGCAGGATGATAGCATGTGGGATGGGCTCAAGACCACAGAGCTCAAGGGCACAAGCCCTGAGTCAAAGTGTCTCAGGTTCACATCCCAACTCATCACTTACTATTTGTATGACTCTGGGATAAAACCACTTAAATCCCCGGGCCTCAGTCTCCTCTGTAAAATCGGATGGTAGTTGAAAGGCTTATCGTAGAGTTTACATAAAATACATGCATAAAGCATTTCAACAGAACATTTGACATATAATAAGGGCTTAATAAATGTTTTTTATTATCAATAGCCAGCTGTTTATGATACCACAGGAGTCCCCCCCCTGTATCTACAAGGGATACATTTCAAGACCCTCCCAGTGGATGACTGAGATCACAGTACAACTGAATCCTATATGTACTATGTGTTTTCCTATACCAACTACCTATGATAATGTTTAATCTCTAAATTAGGCACAGTACTCCTGCCCTTTGGGGTCATTATTAGTAAAATAAGGGCGACTTGAACACAGGCACTGCCATACCATGACAGTCTTATAACCAAGAAGGTTACTAAGTGACTGACGGGCAGACAGCATAGACAGCAGCTACCCTGGACACGGGTTCACGTTCCAGGTGGGACAGAGGACAACATGAGATTTCATCATGTTACTCAGAGCAGCATGCAATTTAAAATTTATGAATTACTTATTCTTATAGTTTTCCAATTAATATTTTTTCAAACTGTGGTTAACCACAGACAACTAACTGAAACAGTGGCAAGGGAAGCTGTTGCTGCTGTAATAGCACTCACTTACAGAGTGCTCACGGTGCCAGGCCCTCTGCTAAGTGCTTTATGAAATCTTGTAATAACCCAGTGAGGCAGAGTCTCAGATCATCCCCCGATGCCTATGGCTTAGAGCAGGTTCTTCAGGGTCACTCAGTTTGTGCATATTGGATCATATTGGAACCGTGATCTTTCTGACCCCATAGCCTGTCCTGGGTCCTATACGATGCTCCGCTTTTCATTGCTCTCAGAGGGCTTTCTCCAAACTTCCTTCCAAATAATCAAATATTATCCTATTTACCTCTATCAAGTTGCCTGCCATGCTTTCCCTAGAAAATCTGTTTTTAAAGTTTTTCTCTCTTAAAAGTGCATGTTACTCTAGGAAAAGAGGGGATGAAGTCTCAGAAATCAATACTTTAGCAAGATCTTCATTCCAGTATGATAGAAGAGCTCCTGTTGAGAGGATGGACCCCGGCCTCCGCTGCTGCCACCGTGTGGGATAGCAGTGTGCAGTGACTCCACAGGGAATCCTAAGGCAGGCTTCCCTTCCAGCTTCATGGTCACAATCCTGTGTCCTTGGCATATTCAGAAAATATTCAAAATGTGTTGCTTTAGAAATCTATTCAAGAGAGAGTTCTGTTTTCATCCAGCTCCTAAAGGGGCTATGTTCTGTTTGACTCAAAAACCATATATGAAGCACCTACCTGATGCCAGACTCCGGACCAAGCTATCTACCATGGCTTACCTCATCCATTTTCTGCCCAAAGATGTGCCCAGAAAATGAATGCCAAAAACTTACATGTTATGGTCACTGAAGGTAACCACCAACTGAGGGTTACTGTGAGCCGGGCATTGTTCTAAACATATTTTACTGTTACTGACTCATTAAAAACTATTGTCATCCCCTTTCTACAGATGAAGGAACAGAGGCACAGAGAAGTTAGGTAACTTATCTGAGGTCACACAGGTGGCTAAATGGCAGAGCTAGGAAAAACAATAAAAATAATTTTTAATTAGCGCTCATGGGATAGTTCCATAATGTACATGAAAGTTTGCAGTGTCCTTCAGAGGGCTTCCTTGGGAAGCTGTATGTTGAATCCAATGATGTTAGCACTGATGATTGGTTGTAGAATTCCTCTCTGGAAATGGCCACTAAAGCCAATTTAGAAATCAAATAAGAAAGTCAGCCTTAATACATGAAGGTCATGTGTTGTTTTTGAATCAAACTAACACTACTTAGCTTCTCAGCCTTAGAGTGTGTGTGTGTTTAAAGAAATAAGAACATGGCTTGGCGCCCATAGCACAGTGGTTATGGCACCAGCCACAAGCACCAAAGTTGGCGGGTTCAAACCCAGCCTGGGCCAGCTAAGGCAGCAATGACAACTGCAATAAAAAAAAAAATAGCTGGGTGTTGTGGTGGGCACCTGTAGTTCCAGCTACCTGGGAGGCTGAGGCAAGAGAATCGCTTAAGCCC